ATCTTCTGTAAAGTACTTTATTTTCAATTGGAATTTGTTTTTTTTCTATTTTTACTGAAGAGATGAATCATTGGAAATAAAATCCAGTGAAAATATCCTTTTCCCATAATTTAACATTCAATTCATCGAATAAACTTTATACAAAACAGCCAAAGTGTTGTTGTTTTTTCAGCGAAAGTTAATTCCAACTAAAATAAAGTATTTTACAGTAATTCAAGTTGAAATATTGCGGTCTTCCTAACATCACTCGCTAACATGCTGCCTAATTATGAAAGACCTGTCATTTTCTCGCTGATGTCCCACAGTTTCTTCGCAACGCCTTCATCCTGTGCCACGGGGTGGAACGGTTTTTCGTAACAATCCCCGAAATACTTCCCATTGACTTTTTCTAACTCGGGATCGACGGCAAGATAAATACTTGTCTGTGCGCCCTGGTGAGCCGTCTTCAGGAATAGCCAGATCAAAGGACGAAAAAGCAGTACAACCAAGCGCGAAGGACTGACGTGTCGGGATAAATTAGTCCATACAATCCCAGGATGAAGGCAATTTGAAGTGACGCCAGTGCCGTCAAGTTGGTGTGCCAGTTCTCGCGCGAACAATACATTGGCAAGCTTGCTGTTGCTATAGCCGGCTCTTTTGTCGTAGTTCTCCTCAGTCATATTCAAATTTTCGAAATGAATAACGCCTCTCTTGTGAAGACTTGATGAGACAACGATAACCCGACTTGGTGCTGATGCTTTCAGCAAATCAAGTAAGAGATTGGTCAAAAGGAAATGCCCTAGGTGATTTACCCCAAATTGCATCTCAAAACCATCCACTGTTTTCATGAACGGACACTGGAAGATACCGGCATTGTTAATTAACACGTCTAGCCGTGACTCTTCCTTTAATATCTCAGAGGAAAAGTCCCGAATTGACTGGAAAGAGGAGAGGTCCAAATGTTTGACGACCAATTCTCCGTTTTGAGTGTTCCTTCTGATGTCTCTAGCAGCTGTTTCTCCGGACTTTAAGTCTCTGCAAGCCATGATTACTCTCGCTTGCCTTTTGGCAAGATCCAATGCCGTTGCCTTGCCAATTCCACAGTTCGCACCAGTAATAAGTACCGTTTTGCCAGCCATCAACGCAGTACTGCGACAAACGCCACCCGCGAAGTACCGTCGAGCTAACGCGATTCCGACTCCGACAACTGTCCCAGCGGCAACAGACAACCATGAGCTCGCCATTTTCAGTGATCACGTGATTATGTCAGGTGGTTACTAAAGAGTACATGTGACCCCGTTCAACTTGTCACAAGTTGTACATCGGCGTTCAGCCATTTGAAAAGCAGGGCAACCTACAGAGACCGATCATGTCACTTATAGCGAGATCTCTGTTACGCACCGGTTTATTTGCTGCACCCAGAGGTAAAAATAATCATGCATCGTACTCATTAACTCAAAATACGCTATAAATACACACTCTTATTACGGTACACTACTAGTTAATGGTGGCAGTCGTGGTATAGCCCAACAATGCACTCGGTCGGGAAGGGGGGTGGGGGTCGTCTGTCTGTATTATGACGCTAAACCCCCGACACATTCCATGTACGCAAGGTTAGTCATGGTACAGCCCGTGTAAATACACTGGGTTTTACAGGGGGGGGGCGTTCTGTGAGTCGTGTGTACAAACACAGTCAGCTGGCGCAACTGTGAGTTGTTTATACCATGGAGCTATAATAAGATATTAGCTCCATATACACATCCTCTCCAGCTGACTGTATTTATACAGACATTAATCAGAAAAGTGCACAATACCGTATTTTGCAGAAAGATGTACCTTATAACATATTTGTAAATGAAAAATCTAAACATCAACTTTTATTCAAATTCTAATATTTAATAGTGGTTGAACTCATGATGGTGTTACAATACAATTTCTGGATTGATCAATTTAAAATCTAGCAGCCATTTTGATTTATAAAAAACTTTATTGACATGTTATCCTATCCCTATTAGGATTTTCTTCAAGTACATTAAAGTAAGATGCAAAAGGTACACAAAAATAACAAGACAAAAAATTTAAGAAAGAAAATAAAATCTAAATTAAAGTGCCTGTGAAATGGCTGCTATTTTCACACCTAAAATTATCAATTAATACACAAATATTATTAATTTTTATGTTTCTAAGCATAAATTATTTTTTTAAGTGAAAAAATGCGTTTTGAACTCAGTCTACAGCAACTTTATTTTTTGTATTTTAAAACGAGGCTCCTCATTAGCTATTCATTTCCATACAGAAATTCCCCTTGTGACGTCATAATAAATGAAGTAACTAAATACATTTGAATAAGATAAATTACATTTTTGATTTTGGAAATTACATAATCCTTTGGTAGTGTCTCGCAGTGATGTATATAGAATAGAATAGAATAGAATAGAATAGAATAGAATAGAATAGAATAGAATAGAATAGAATAGAATAGAATAGAATAGAATAGAATAGAATAGAATAG